GATAGACAGTTGTCATGGCAGGACGTGTTTTCTTTTATGTGCAGGACTTAGGAATCATTTTGTCGTTTCATTTCATCTCTTATCAGTCTTGTCAAAGGTTATGTTCCATTATGAATAAGGCGTCATCTCACCTGTTGTTTGATCATAGGATTATGTGATCTTGTTTTATTTTACTATTTATACAAAGCTCTCGTTAGTATTGTATTAGATTTCTTTTCTTTCTTATTGAGTTTTTTGTAATCATAGATCATCATCATTGTTTCTCTTTTAAGAAAAGAAAAAACAGCGCAGCTTAAGTTATCATCTAGGAGAGATTTCGGATTCAGGTATCAAGGGATCCTGTATTCTTAAATAACAAGCCAGATCACTACACTGAGGGTGGTGTCCATGAGGGACATATTTGACCCTTACAACAGAATTATGCAACACTGTTATAACAAATTATTTTTACTGAACAACATTTTTGCGGCATTGAAGGAATATACTATGACTCTAACCTAACCACTCCCTCTTGGTGAGCAAGCATGCTATGACTCAAAACATATTCTTGTTAGTTTGCAATAAGCTCTTTACCTTAGCCTGGGTGGGAGGGAGGTTGATGATATTTTGTAGCTAAAATACCATTGAGAAAAACTTTAGGATAAAAGAATGGATGAATAAGGTTTTTTTTGGCAATTATGCATTTTCAGATCAGAAAAATGAACTGGGAAAGTAGTGATTTTGTTCAACATCCTATACGTCCAATACTTTCTAGACATTTGAAAAACATCAATCTTCTTTTGATAAGATAGATTTTATGCTTTCTTGTCTATTAGAAATGGAGGATGCTTTGTACCTAACTACTATTATCTAAATGCTTTGTCCCAGCCCATTCCTGTATGTCAATAATGACTTCCATTTTAAGAGCTGGGGTCCAGGATATACAGCCAATTTGAGAATGATTGATCACTTTTTTACATCCAAAAATCAAAAGACAACAATCTCCTTTGGTCTGACTAGATGGCCAAAGTTATGAGGTAAAACCAGTCCCTACTTTTTTGAGGTCCTGTTTGACAGACTTTGGAAAACTCTATGTAACACGTTATATTATGGTCGCTAGTGCCAGGAAGCATAAAATGTTGAATCAAATATTTACAAAGAACCCCACTTCAGGAGAATAATTTCTTGTGCTGTGGAAACCAAGTAAAACAAGGGAATCAGTTTCTGGTGTGTTTGGAGGAATGGGTTTGGTAGGTTTTATGCATTGCAGCCCTGAGCCTAGATTGCAGAGAGAGCCGGAGTACTGAGGGGGGATCCCACTGAGGGTGGCCCTGTCTGGCACTGAGCTACCCTACTGAGGTGCTCCCCACTGGTTGTAAGCCAGAGAAACAATAACTGATGCACACACAAAATATGAGCCACATGAACCTGAACCCTTTTTGAACACAATGGGGTGGTGGGCGGGAAAAAAAATTGAACAAGGAAAAAAGAAATTATCCGCTAAAAGTTAAACTGTAGAGAATTACTGAATTTGAAATAGTGAAAGTTTCCTGATGATTTTAAAACAGCTGAGATTTTTTTTGATTCTGCTAACAACTTTTTTGCAATATATAATGGAAGGAAACAATAGCTTGCACAATTGAGAGGAATAGGGAAAAATCTGAGAGAAGGCTCAACTAGACTCATTGGGGGAGTCTGTTGAATTGCCAATTTTTGTTGCCCATCATTTCTGAGTGGACTGTGCTACCTAGCCCTAGGCTTACCTGTGTGTCCCTTCCCTTTCACATACTCTGGTCTGTTGATACTTTGCACCAACTTCAAAATTTGGAGTATTCAATGATTTTCAACAAGATATCTGGATTGTGACCAATGCCAGGAATCCAATAGTACCCTTGGCTCCAAGATTGGATGTGTTTTGTGGCATTGCATTAATTCGTCAGAGAAAAACTTGCTGGTCCAAAATTCTACGCTTCTCATCACTACCGACTATAGACCACCAAAGCTAGCTAAACACTTTTTTGGTTCAAAACCCTTTATGGAATTTGAAAAAGAGGTGACATCCGGCAGCAATATAAGATCAATATAATCAATATATCATGATACATTTGACCAATTTGGAAAACAGCCTTGAGGCTATGTATCAGACAAAAAACGCTTTTTGCCACCCTCTGTTATTTGAACTTCATCAAATTCATGCATCCTTTTAACTTCACTCCACACCCTTTCACCAACACCCTTTTATCTCCTTCACACCCCTCCTTTCCATTGTTCAGCTTTCTTTGTTTCATTCCAATTCATCTTTTTACTTTTGAGTTTTCCCGGTGTTTCATAGCAATCTTTTATTCTTATTTTAGTTTTTGATTATTGTGCTAGATAATCATCTCTTTCAATCTTTTGTTTTGTTTTTCATATTCTATATGGTCAATTTGATAATCTCACTACAGTTTTACACCCGGTTCTGACTTTTCTATTTCTAGTGGCAATCTATGCTTGATGGTCTGATGATTTGTGTGTTGTGGGTGCATTATGCAAACAAAAGGAAAGTGATGATTCCTGTAGTTGACAATGGCTACTGATAATGTTTAAAACATTGAGATTGAATTTCCAAATTCAATTGTGATATGATCTCAACATATGTTACCCAAAGGATTGGAGCCTGCGCGAAGCAAGGCGGAAAGTGCGGAAATCGCGGAAAGTGCGGAAAAAATACAGAACTGTATAAACAGCCCTCGAAAGAGCACTGTCCGAATTGGGCAGTTAGGCTTACTTCGAACTTCGAACACGTTTCACCATATAAAGAATGTTGGGTGAAATACTCGTTACAAGTAACAATTGATTAATTACAAAAAAGTAACGTTGAGTAAAAAGTACGATGAATAGGCGTGTTGGGTAAGGGCAAAGGGATAGGGAACTAAGCGAATCGAAGACTTTCATTTTTTTAAAAGACCTCCCTCATCTTCCTATCAATGCTTTTGACCAAACTCATGTCGCTTCTTGATGCCCATGATGCCAACATCATGTTGAAAATCACTGTGCAAGACTTTGTCAAATTCTTATGTGTTGCCGCCGACGTGGTTGTGCGGTCTGAACAGTCTCTTCAGCTCACTACGCACAGAAGGCCTATACAATACCTTGCTGCGAGCCTTCCGCCATCCATACATCACTATCTGGAGGTGTTGTTGGCTATGGCGAGTAAGGGATACAATCGAGAAGAGATATGATCGAGAGCAGGTGCCGAGTTGTTGATTTGATAAGTTCTTCATCTCGTTTCTTTTGCTGGATGATAGCTGATACATGTGGTTGGATTGATAGTTCCGCATTGGTCATAGCATCAAAGGGCCTTTCCGCTTTGGGATGCTGAAACAAAAGTGCTCACATGTCTACCCTGTACGTCTAACCTGTATTTTCCGCACTTTCCGCACTTTCCGCCTTGCCTCGGGGAGGCTCCAATGCTCTCATGTTACCAAACAGCAAAACGGTCCACAAAAGATCATTATAGTTTTTGTTGACCCTTTTGGTTGACTGTTTGGTAAAGTGTATAACCAAATCTCAGCTTTTTCAATCTGCCCCTTTCAAGGGGCAGATCACAAGAGTGTTTTTGTCACTTGTTGGCAAAAGTTGCCAAACGGGCCCCAACTCGTTCAGTTGATGTTTCATGCACTAAAGCCTGATGCCCTCAAACTTATTGGATGCCCTTCAAAAAAAAGATCACTCTTTTTGAAAAAAAAGTAGTAGCCACAGTGGTCAAAGCCAACAGATTTTTACAAGTTCTGTAATTTTTGTATTCTCAAATTCAGCGGAGAACAAAACGCGGTCAAAAAAACAAGTTTTGCATAAGCTTAACTAAGCCTAAATTTATCTAAGTCCCACGCCGACCCGAGCCGGAACTAAGTCCCTCTGGAGCGGACGTGGCCGTGTCGGCAGAGGGGCTTAGTTAAGCTCAAGTGTTGCACCATGATGTCATTGATGCGCATTTACAAAAAAAATCATTCATTCTCAAATTGACTGGATATCATAAAGTCCAGCATCATGATCTTTGTTCATGGCTATCCTCCTGTTTTGAAGGTGCAGAGGTAACAGTGAAATGAAAGTTGAGATACTTGACTTCAAACAATTGGCCGGATAGAACTTTGTGTGTTCATCCATGACATAAGTTCTTCATTTTTACGATGGAAGAGCCCTTGAATTCGTCCCAGAACTAGACAAAACTGAACATCGAATTGTAAAATTGACATCCGCCACGATCAATCAAATTATGTGGATGTGGCCCATAACTTATAAGCTGCGCTGTAGAATTTCTAGTGACCCTTCGTGTTAAACAAGTTTCAAATCAACAATATGGATCAACCGAAAATAAGTTTGTTCCCTTGAGACAGTAATAAGATGATGATGATCCCCACATAGATCACACCTTCAATAGAGGCATTCTAGTCTTCATACCCGTCAAACTATCAAAAGTTGGAAAGATTGTGGCATGAGTTGCGGGCAGTTTGCGCAAACAATACATATTTTTGTGCAATTCTATAACATTGTCTCCTCACTCAGAAGTGAGTTTCACAATTCAATATCATACTTTGGGGTGGTGAGTGGAGAAGATGTCAGGATGCAACTAGATTCCATCATCTCAATCTTCTCTACGAGTCACATTGGATGGCGATGAAAGTGTATCAAAGTGTATCATACAAAGTTGTAGATTCCGTGGCAATCTTCAGTCATCATAAAGCATTCCATATTCCCCAATCTTGAAGGAATATGAGCTGGATGAGGATTTAAACTTTCATTGAAAATAAATATCTTCAGCTTTTGTGCTATCAGACATCAGTCTATCAATATCTTGTCCACTGTCTACTGTTGACCCTTATATAAACTCATCCCTAGAAACCCGAGAAATTCTGTCAGATTGAGATCAGAGACCAATTCATAGAACCCACGATCTGCCATCCTCCCTTCAAGGCGAGAGCTCTATCCTGAATTATAATTTCGAGCCTTTCCCATTTGGATATCCAATATTCAATAAGAATATGTTTCCTAGTAAATTCTCGCCAAACGCTCTCTCACAAGAGCGGGGCTCAGCCTCTACGGATCAAAATTTCCTAAAAACCTTACAATGTCCAATACCAGGCATTATGAATGATAAAGGTTCGCGTGTTGCTGCATCTTTCCTCTAGCAGTTTTTTGATTGCCACATATTATTTGATATTCTAGTGACAGTATGCTCTACATTATGTGAAGAGAAATCGCCACCAAGTATGTGAAGGAATCTGAGAACTCTACCTTCATATCATATACTACTAATTGTACTGATGCTTTCACACGAGATATTTAGCCGATTGTGGCCATGGGGCATGGACGTACTTGGGAGCCGCGTTCACCTTAGAAACTATCATATGGGTGAGTTTCCAAACAAGAAATTTATATTCCAAGCATTCATAAGAATTGCTATTTTGATATTTTGCTATTGCTTCTTAACCCATGTATTACTTTCCAAAGGGTTACGCCAGTTCTTTTGGCATTTTTTTAGAGTTTTACATCAACGAAACAGTGAGCTCGCTGGGACATGAATCGAACGCAAACACAATTTTGCCGCTGGTGGGAACGGTGAACAGTGGAATCATGGCTTTGTTAGGTATCATTGAACTTTTATGAATGACTCTTCTTCACTCCGCCTCGTTGGTCCGCAAGTAGCTCAACTCGATCTTTTGACTTTATTCTTTGTCCAGCCCCGCTTTTCTCAATCGTTATAACACGCTATCCATCGTCACGTCGTTGGCTCATGATCTCCGGCGCCTTGATATGCTTCCTCAGCATATTTGCTTCGAGTGTTGCTACTTCTGTAAGTATAGTATATATGACCATAAAGAAATCCTCATCTGAACTACATCTATATTTCAAAATTCGTCAGTGTATGCACGTATTCTGGTCTCAAGGAGTGGGGTATGGTATTGGAGGTGCGGCTCTATATCATCCTGCGGTACGTTACATTTATCATGATGGTGATTCAAGACCACTATATATGTTCAAGTGGATTTACGAATATCTACAGCTGTCATTTCTTCCTGAATGGTTTTCAGCCCGCCGGGGTTTGGCTAATGGCGTGATATTTGCAGGTCAGTGAATCCCAACAGTTTGCAACGTAATTTAATTAACATTTACATGATCTTGACGTACCATCGGGATTTCCATAGGTACTGGGCTAGGAGGGTTGATTTTTCCATTCCTTATCAATACGCTGCTTGGAAAATTCGGAGTGAAAGAAACTCTACAGATTATCGTTTGTGTCATTTTGAATTTCAGGCCGTCCCATGAGAAACCCTTCTAAATCAATGATTTCCCTCCGCTTGTGTTCACCTTCCAGTCCTGCGTGATGGCTGTAATGATGGGGATATGTGTGATACTTATAAGACCAAGGATCCTAAAAGTATCCAATAGATCAATATCAGTCATCGAAGGACCTTTCGGTACGCTCAAAGGGGCAACATGCACGTCTAAAAATTCCCTGACAGGGTTTGCTAGGCAAATCAGGTGGCCATTTGCCATATACCTCCTATCCAACACCATACAAGCTATCGGCTACTACATTCCGAACCTATATCTACCGAGTGCGTCAAATTCTTCTAGTTATAGATGTATGTAAATACTGTGTGCGTACCACTGACAAAGAAAGCACTTTGAAGGTTACGCGCATTCACTCTCTCTGAGTAGCTCATCGGGAAGTGCGACCTTGGCAACTTTAAATGGTAAAGCTATACCTACAGCTCATCCTTTCTTAGTGTTAATGTCACACTTTCTGCAATCCTTTTCTTTTAGGCGGGGCAATTATCTCGAGGATTGTGGTTGGCATCCTTTCAGATCACTATTCCCCACATCTTATTGGTGCAGTAACTAGTCTGGCAGGTGGAGCCAGTACCTTACTGTTATGGGGTGGACTTGGAAACCGTGGTTATATCCCCTTATTGACTTACTCGTTTTTATTTGGATGTACTTCTGGGGCTTGGACTAGCCTATTCTTTGGAGTTGTAAGAGTCTGGCTACGTGAGTCAAAACTCTTCATATAACTTATTCCACATCAACGCTCTGATGATTTCTCGTCAATTTCTCATTTAATAGGAAGCCCTCATTTAACTATGACAACCTACGGAATCATTTCTCTTACTCGAGGATTGGGTAACATCATTGCTGGTCCTATTTCCTCTAAACTGATTTCAATAACAATACCAAGAACTGAAATAAGGACAGGATTTGATGTAGATTCATATTCTAAAGTGATTTGGTTTAGTGGTTTTGGATTGATTGGTACATTTATACTAGAGTTGATATTATGGATCCTTCAATAGTTTGACTCTTTAATGTAGAGAGATCTCACATGGTTGTGTTGAAGCCCATATTTATCTCATCTTGTTCTTTTCTCGATGTCTTTTTAGCTTTTTCAGCTGCTTTGTATCGAAGTTGTATATTACTCAATATCTGAAAGAAAATCAAACTAGATTTTTCAAGAGAATGTCTCTCAGAAGAAGGCTCATTTGCTAGCTCTGTTCGCCGTTACCGCTTGTGTCTTATTGAAATGATATGGGTTTATCCTCAATGAATCATCTTGAGAATGCAAGAAACCACCTTCATACTAAACGGTATGGTATTGATGCCTTCAAAGAGTACATTCATTCATAGGATGCGGGTCTTATTTATAGGTAGTATAGAACTTGAAGTCATCTTTCATCTCCATCACAAAGGAACCATACGGACTCTTTCTTCGTTTGCTTAAAACGGAATTCATTGTGGAGCTTTTTGCCATTCTCTTCGTTTTTCGAAACGGGATCGGGCTTCTAAGGAAGCAAACTCTTTGTATCTTCGTCTTTATGACGGAATGGCCTGGTAGTCATAATGTACCGGGTAGCTTTCGTATTGATAAGGAAGGATTTAAATCCGGAAAGCTCTTCCCCTCAGGTCTATCGAAAGTGATAAGTGGTATCTTTGACCAGGGGGGGTTGAAACAAAAAAGATTAGGTCATATGATTTTAAGAAGTAGGAACAAGGACAAAAGCAAGTTGCCATTGATTGAAGACAAAGATTGGAGATACAGATTGAAATGCGATTTTCGATTCGATTACCAGCTTTTTGTATCCCACATGTTAGTCCTCTTTCAAATCTTCCAACTTCATCAGTTACAAACGGATCGTTCCGGTAACAAGCTTCAGAGACAAGCACAAGTTGTGAGCTGGTTCGAACAACTATAAACATTCATTGATTGGTTGTACACAAGGGGATCGATCGAACAAGTTCTGTGCTCCACCATACTAACGAAATTGAACGTCTCCTTTGAAGCTATCTGATTTCATATAGGCACAGTGAGGTACGCCAATGGATTCTAGTGCTATGCGCCAGTGATAGGTTGGTGATGATCAGATACGATAGTCTCGCTGTTTGCCTTTGTCAGTCGAATAATTCGAATCTGGCTCGATCGGCTCAGGTCCTCCCGGATCGTTGGGTTCATCTTCACCATAAGCTTTCAAATCATCTGCCCTTCCTCTTGCTCTTGCCAAATCTTCTTGCATAAACAAAAGTTCTTCGATTCTACTCAATTGTTTCTCTTCCAAGGTTGCCTTACGTCGTGCCAAAGGATATGAAGCATAGATAATCTCAGGATGATTGGAAGGGCCAGTAGTAGGATTATGAACTCGAGTTGATGATGATTGTAAAGCGAATTTAATATCATCTACTTTTAGTTTTCCTCGATTGGTTGAAACTTTGTGAGCTGAGATAAGCTAGGTTTTTTGTTTTCGTATCGTGAAAAACAAAATGATTTATATCAAATCAAACACACGTACTTTACGTTAGATCAACTTATTCGGTGACCCAATTCATTCGACGGTAAGGGAAAATGTCACCAACAACATCCGAGATATGATCAATGACCATCTCTTCCATTAATGCTATTACCTCGCGTTGAGGATCAGGGTCACCAAATCCGAACATCATACTAGGTACTTTAATCACATCAAATAAAACATGAGAACTTCAAGAATCAGAATTGGCAGGCTATGATCGATATGAATTCCTTCATAAAACTTACAATCTTTGATGAATAAGTTCTTTTTGCTAATTCTTTGTCGACCTCTTCCTTGTGTGGATTGATCATGATGATGAGCTTGAGACATGGATGGATTGATTTGTATTGAAGCTTTATATGAAGATGGTTGGATGTTTCGTTAATGATAATGGCTGGCTCGAAGTCGCGCGTCTTGACGATCCGATGTGAAACAAAGGCAGCGTATGTACACTACATAGAAGCATAGACTGCTCTGTACTGGCATAATATGTTTATAAGTAGAATCCATCATTCCTCAATCATCTTTCACGCTTGGCTGGACAAAGTCTTGATGCAACACATAAACATCAAGCAAGGAATCATAAACTCGCACAGAGATATGAGACACCGTGCTCCATATGAGGGGTCAATAAAAGTTATGCTGAAAAAAATTCTTATTAACATGAATAATTGATGTTTTACGAGATACAAAGAGAATAGAAGGTAAAAGAATTGTCTATATACTATTCTATAAAAATTAAGAATTCAATTCAATTTGAGGTTACAAAGAATGAAGAAAATAAAACCAAAGACAAGAAACAAAACTAAAAATAAAATATCCATCTTTGAATGATTAATCACTTCAAGATACATACTGTGCAAGAAAATCAAAGTAGAAATCAATCAAAATCACAAATCACAAGTAAGAAGAACTCTCACAAGACGAAGAGAAGAAAAATTGATGAGTATCTTCAACGTTCAAAAGGTCCATCAAAAGGAGTAGAGAATGGATTCCTAAGATCATTCTTTACTTCAGAAACCAATTTACCTTCATGACTCAAAGGAGTAATAGGAGAGAATCTAGACTTAGGTTCTTCTTTGAATTGATCTTTTCTTATTTCTTTAATTTCAAGATTTTTAGGTTTAAAAATCTTTGGATTTTTAGGATAAGAGATATTATATTTTGAAATTTCTCTTCCTAGTCCTATGGCTCGATTGTTTGATGGTTCTGGATCGATTGGACCTGCTGTTTGTTGATAGATATTAGGATATGAAGAATTCATATCATTAGAACTTGATGTTGGTTCGGAATAAGATACTGGAGGATAAGGTATAGGAGGGTAAGGTATAGGAGGGTAAGATAAAGGAGGATAATAAGGATAAAATGGATCAGGTTCAGGTGTATAGAAGGGTTCAAGTATAGGAGATGGTAAGTTATCAATCTCATCAAATGATGATCCAACTTGATTTGAAACTATAGATTCTTCTCTTTCTTGAATAGAAGGTTGACTATGAATTGAAGAAAATGGAGAAGAAACTAAAGCCACAGGTGGTAAGAAACTAAAAGATTTACCATTTCTTATACCATTCAATTTCCTTAGATCTGGATGAAACTCTGAGTCTTTAGCAACTTGATTTTGAGATCCTAATCCACGTTTTGATATTTGATTTTCTTGAATTTCTATCGAATCTCGTATTGAACTAGTTGGATTTCGATGTTTCAACATATCCCAAATCACACCGATGATACCGAAAATAATCACCAATAGATAACAAGCCAACAGTGCGATATAAGTGACTCGTTGTTTAAGTAAAGCCTTGGTGTATCGATTAATAAGTCGATCAACAAACCGTGTAGCAAGAGATGGTTCTTCTGTTTGATTTGATTGTGAGCTTGAATCATTTTGAGGAGATCCTACAGATCCCACTAAATCTTGCGTTTGACTAGGACTGATCATCAAAGCTGTTGGACTAACAGTTGGAAGTTCAACATGGGCATGATCGTGTACAAAGGTTAAAGCGCTCTGAATTCCTGCGACTTTCGATCCTATCAAACAGTTCAGTAACTCTAAGGAAGGTCCCTTGAGCGGTGTTTTGCCAAACGTATCGCTTACGACAGTTGTTAGACCGTCATAAAAGGTAGTCAATGTGTTATTAAGAGTGGTGGTGGTGGTTCCAGCCCATCCTAGCATATGGTCATTGACATCAGATTGAAATTTTAGAATCACTGCGTTGGTGTCTTCGGCAAAGGCTGCACTCGCATTTCGGGTTTGGTCATTGATTTTATCGGCTAAGAGGTTAGTCATATCATTGACACCAGAGTTTGCTTGATGAACTGCTTGATGTCTTACACCGTGTAAAGCAAACAGTTGGACTTGAATAACTAAAAATCCTAAAAGACCGAATCCTAAAAAGAGTAATGCTGAAGGCCAAGTGATATAAGCTAAAAACCAAGGAAGTCGATAACTTTTTGGAGTCTTTGTCTTTAAAAGCTTATTATTCATAGTAGAAGCAAATGGGTTTTGTCTGAAAAAAAAAATTGTATGTATCATCAGTTGATCAGAAAAAGATTATTTCTTTATACAATTCCGGAAAAAAAAATACTCACACATTGTGAGTGAATGCTAAAAGATTCGAACTAGAGAATGTTTCTTGACTTCCATATAACCAAACTTCTCTAGCTTCATCCACCTTATTGATCATACGCTTGTACAGGAATCTTTCCTTGAAGACATTGAATAAAAAGATGATGAGGATGACGATACAGAGAAGTAGAATGATGAGTTTTAGTCCGGATGAGATAACGTCGCCAACTTTGTCAAGAAAAGAGGTGTCTAGGTCCTATTAGAAAATTAAACAACGATCAAAGACATTAGTGAGATACGAGTCAAAACATAAACTTATTGAATTCGCTCACCTGACAGAATGTGACTGTTTGTCGCGGAGGGATTTTGAGTAGGGTACGATCGATAGTGGCATTCTTAAGGTTACTTGCAACTTCGACACGTAGTGCCTCAAATGGTGTAGAGATGACTTTATCTAACGCGTCTCTCAGCTAAAAAAACAAAAAGTTCGATCATGAGTCAATATAGACGTGTAGTTTTAGATTTGGAAAACATCGTACTCACTTCATTCAAGGTTGGTAGTGAACTATTAAGTTGAGTCAATGCATCACTCAGACCTGTAGGAACTTTCACATTTTGTAAAGCTGTAAGATCAGGTATTTGAAGATTAGGTTGAGGAATCTTGACCCCTGGAATCTTATCAAGTGTTTTGATCGTATCAGAAAGTAATGATTCGGCTCCACCTATTGTAGCTTCTGCTCAAAGATGAAAGACAAAAAAAAATCTCGTTAATTTGGTATTGTGTAAATCTTATTTGGAAGCAAAAAAAACACTTACGGATCGCAGTCCTTAATCCGGAAACAGCATCTGCAAATACTTTTTCTGCTTCTTCTGCAGCACTGATCAACAGAGCCAACGAACCACGAACCACAAATTCTGCAAGACATACTAGATAGAATCGAAAGAAAAAAAAGAATTGAGTGTAAGTTTTGAAAAAATATAAGTGTAAGAAAATAATCTGTACTCACAGTATAAAGATCTATAAGTATCAACGATATACAAGATAATAGCTTCGATGGCTCGAATAGAAAGGTCCAAAACGGTGGCAAGACCATGAACAATATTTTCTGCACTAGAGACGATAAACTCATTTGTTTGTTGAGCCATGAAATGAGGAATACTTGCAGCCACACTAGCAGCTCCTTCAAAACCAGCACAAGAAGCTGCCAAATCACGTTTTGCATCTAATACTCCATCACCAACTGAACCTAGTGTAAGGAAAAGTTGAATTAAGATCAAAATGATGATCAAGATCGGATAAGCCAACCATGCTAAAGAGATTCTAGCTCGTAAACCAAGGTAAGGCATAAGTTGTTGATGATTAGATAAAGTTGATTTGTTTGACAAGTTTGAGTTTGGGTTGATTGGAAGGCTTGACATGTATGGTGGGAGGGTAGGACGATTGGAAGAGATTGATGGAGATTTTCTACGAATGCGAAAGATAGCCATGTTCCTAGTTGGATGAAGATTTGAAGATTTTCTAGTTTGAAAAGGAATGAAATAAAATATATAAGGGAAGTTGAAGAATAACTTTTTGAATAACTCAAGTTTAACTTGCAAGTATATATGAGCTGTTCATTTATGTGAGCGAAGGTGGTTCATATTTTGTAAAACGTAAATATAAATTTATGAATGAGTAAAAGCAGAGACATTTAACATAAGGGAGCTTTCGAGAAGATGAGTAAAAGGCGGTTAGAGAAAGAAATTGGACGAACAGAAGGCTTTTTGCAAATTCTAAACGGCTTATGACTTCAATTGCATTTGAAAAGCAGCGATGATGAAGCTACTTTCGTGTTCGACCGTTGAACTCAGACTGATCCTTAGACTCTCTTGATGGATCTTACAAATCTAATATTAGGGGTGAGCATGCAAAGGAATGAGAAAAGATCTGGGGAGGATGGAAAACGAAGCACCAGGCTATCTTCTAACGAAATAAGCTGAGGGCAAATCCTCAGCTCATCTCAGCGGAGAGTGAGTTGAGTGCTTAACTAGACTCCATGCATATTCAGTTCTCAGTTAGTGGTGATAAGACAAAGGGTAAGAAAGATGAGCTGTCAAAGGTCGTTCTGTACAAATAACAAGACAAGGGTGAGCTCAGCCTCAGCTCAAGATTCAAGTCACTCGATTGTTTGGATCTTGATATCCTATCCACTAAACCCAGCAGCAAAGATATCCACGGACTACTTACTATCTATGATCCCTTTGTTCTCGATATCAGTTTCCAACCTCGCAAGTCATCATCATCAACATTCACCGAAAGTGTGTTGCCAGCTACGCCCTTGTCATAGTCATCAATCCTTCACAATCACCAACCATGATTCGTCACTGTGAGCGCTGACCAGGCGTGCATCAAAGTCACATCAATATCATGTGTGAGCTCGTGCTATTGAAGATCAACCAGAGAAGTCGATAGTCGCAATCATGAGTCATCGACCTCTTGCTTTTGAGTTCGAGGCGAAATGAAAGAGACCTAGTCATGCCAATCAGAGTACTTTTCCAATCGATGATAATCATAGCTGGAAACACCTTCCATCTGAATACCATGTCTCCTTCTGTAACCAAACCTGATATGTAATTCAATGTTATCTGGTATATCGATTTTTTTCACCTTTTTATGATCAACTTGAGAGCAAAAAGAACATCATCTGACAACATCAGTAGTAAACTGATTCGAAATAATCACAACTTCAATTCGATCTTGCCCTAGATCATGAGTCGTAATGAGTCATAAGAAAGAAGGGAAGAAGTTTAGGTATCTTGATGATTTCACTTCAAGACCAGTTGGTCAAATATGCATTTGAGATGTCAGGATTTCTTGCTTCTGATAAAAGATAACAAACCAATCGAGGTACTTGAGATTACTACACTCGTATGAAAACAGTCATCCTTTATCAGCCAAGCTTAGATCGGAAAATTCTTTCAAGTGATTGATCCAATAAATCAGAACAAAACATGATAATCAACCCATCACTTCAAGGCTCTACATAGACTGGATTCAACCTCAACTAAAGAAGTTTCCATGAATCATTCATCTTATTGATATTTTGTAATCTGGATCCAAAATCTGTATAAATCCAAAAAAAATCCTCCAGAACAAACATCAAAATTAAACATCAAAATGAAACCAAAAAACCAATTGAAACCAAACCCAACCAAACCACCATTCACTATACACATAATGATCCCTTAATATGTATCCATTTCAGGAAACCAAAAACCTAACAAAATATCGATTTCTCACTTATAAAACTAATTCATATTTCCCATTCTTATTTCCAGTACTATTACTCATCAAATCATAATCATCATTCCTTCTACCACCAGGTGCAGAAGGAGAATCAAATTTGATTCTATACCAAACAAAACACACAAAAAAGAATCTGATCAGTTTCACTTCATTCACTTTTTTTCGCTTTCAATTAAGTTTTATTTCTTCTCACTCACTTTTCTCCTGCTGCTACGGATGGAAATGATTGAAAGGCATTGGGATGTTTAGGTAAAGGGGCTTCACTATACATTTTTCATCAAAAAAAGAACCTCAAATCAAATCATCGATTCAAAGAAACCAAATTCGATGAAAATAGACTGACTTAAAATAAGGATGACGTAAAGCGTCTTCAGCCGAAATCCTTTTAGAAGGATCATAAGTTAACAACGCATTCATCAAATCGATACCTAATTCAGTTAAATACTTAAACTTAGATCTAAGTGTTGAATAATTAGGTAAATGGATCAAATTTAAACTTTTAAAATTCGGTAACTTCACCACTTCAGGCCAATTATCTTGATGAGGTTTACCCAATAAACTAAAGATTTGATTTAATTGATCGATTTCACCTTTACCAGGAAAGATCGGATCACGTAAGATCAATTCAGCAAAGATACAACCAATCGACCAAAGATCAATAGATGGATGATAATCATCTAAACCTAATAAAAGTTCAGGTGATCGGTACCAAAGTGTGACGACTAATCTCGTTAGGTTTCCCATCGATGGATCTCCATACATTCTGGCTAATCCGAAATCCGCTAGTTTGATCTCGCCTCGATTGTTCATCAAGATATTTGAGGTTTTGATGTCTCGATGGATTATCCAATTCGAATGACAACAAGCTGTGGCTGATAATAATTGAATCATAATCGTTTTGATTTCAGATGATAAGAATGGAGTTCTCATCGTCGTTAAAAGTGTCTTTAAATCATGTTCAATAAAATCCATCACAATAAATATCCTATCATCCCCAAAACCCCCCCCAAAAAAAAATACTCAATCAAGTTCAATTTTAATTTGGAAAATGAATGACAAAAGATCACTGACTGGGTTAAGGTATCACCCACTACGATTTCTCTAACATTTACAATGTTTTGATGTTGAACCATCATCAAGGTATGAATCTCTCTTAAAGAAGTGATCGGAAACCCATTTTTTTCTTGATCCATCTTGATCTTCTTTAATGCTACAATCTCATTTGATTCTTTATCTCTTGCTCTAAAGACTACTCCATATGATCCTTCTTCAATATGATTTAGTCTGTCAATTTTGAAAAAAGGTTATAATTAGGTCTCCAATTTCATCTATCAAGTCTTTTTTTGATGAAGATGATGATTAGGTTCAATTTACCTTTCGTAACAGTAAACCGATCTACATCCTTGGATTGTAGGATGAGAATGGCGTAACTGAAGAGATCGAGTCGGACGACCAGAAGCCCCATTCATTTTCCCAGAACCGACCGAACCCAACAAACCTTCCCCCTGCTGGACCATCTCATTCCTACTGGTGTTAGATGAACCAGAACAAACCGAGTTTGAGTTCAAAGCCGAACGAGTTTGTTTAAGTTTGTTTGAAATATTCAAATCAGAAAAAGCAGCTTGACGTGATCTTTTAGAAGGTCTAGCTTTGATATCTTGATCCTTTGATACTGTTTCTTCTTCTGATCCTCGTGGTGAATCATCCCATTTTGATCTACGTAAGTTTGAAACAGAAGAGACTATGAATGTGTGTAAAGTGTGAACTGATTTTTTTTGGACGAGCTGGGATTCATACGTATTTATTCATGGTGGTATTTGAAGTAAAGAGAAAATGGAATCGAAATGGAAGAGTGGATTAGAAGTGCTTGACTGACCGTTTGAAGACATTTTGGTGTCGAATGGGTTCGGATTGGAAGTTGTTGTTGAAGTTGTTGCGATCAAAAACCAATTCAAGCATTCAACTTCGACTTTAAGTACTTAACCTTAAGCATTTAATCTTAAGTACTTAACCTCAACACTTCACCCCAAACTGTTCTCAGTCTCAATCTTCAATCGATCAATCCAACACAACAACCAATCCAACTCAAGAATGGCTACCTCACAAGTTTCTTCAAAATTCAATCAATTCCTAAACCATCCAGCAGGTCATTATTCTCTTCATAACCTCATTTCCCATTCCACAAAAGAAAAAAAACAATTAAACCTTTTGTTTTTGCTTTTGAAAAATGGAAATGTTCAAAGGTCCAAAGTTGAGTCTTTCAAAAAAAACATATCACGTTTTCTCTTCCAAAACCTTTTCAATCGACTTGGCAAACTAACCAAGATTTCTTTTTCTGTTTTTTTGTGGATTTTGGAATAATTTTGTATAGAACGATTTTCTTTTGGGCTCCAATGTTTAAATGGGGATTAGTGATTGCAGGTATCAAAGACTTAAGTAGACCGGTTGAAAAATTATCTCTTTCTCAAAACATTGGTAAAAAAAGATTCCTTTCGAAAATTCAATTAGAAGAATCTATTTTCAAAGCTCTTGGTTTAAAAGTCTTCAAAATCAAAAAAGAGTTGTTCTAAAAAAACATTGATTGAGGTTTTTTGTGTGATTTGTTTTTTATAGCTTTGGCAGCTACAGGTTTGATTTGGGTCAGATACTCATTCGTAGTACGTCATTTTTTCCTTCCAAACCAACCAAAAAAATACATACTCCCTCCAGAATTTCCACACTTTGATTTTATCTTCATAAACTGATCTTACATTTTTTATTTCGGGTTCAAATCTTAGATCACACCTGTGAATTATTCATTAGCAAGTGTGAATTGTTTTGTGGGAGCAACTGGTTTGACTCAACTTTATCGGATTTGGGAGTAAGTCATTCATCTGAGTCTTTTTAGATTGGTTGAGGTTTCTTTATTGATTGGTTTGGTTTTTTGGTTTTTAGTTATCGTAAAGGACTTGAAAAGACTTCAGAAACATTAAAGTGATAAAACTTAAAGTTGTCATGCAAGATAGATACAATATATATACATATCAAATTTTTTTAGAATATGATTTCAAAGTACATCTGTGAGAATGAAAAGATAAACTAAAAAGCAAATGAAAGTGATGAGATTGTGAGGATTGATTGATCTGTAGCTCAAACTTCTTATGGTGCCAGTGATTTGTCTAATGGAAAATTGCCATTACCCTTTTGGATGATCTGATTAAATGAAAGTGGTAGAAATTATGCTGTGAAAGCACCAACCTGAGTTGCCATGCATTTTCTGATTCTTCGTCTTGCACACTGACTCATTTAAGTGCTCCACCTTAGCTTGGCGCTAGACTATGGTCTCCTTTTTGAGCTTCTCGATTTTTGTAGACTAAAGACTGTTGATGGAAGGCTGTACTCACCTTTAGATAGGTTAGAAAACTCTCACTCTACCTGCTCACAAGATCAACACACTAAGATTAAAAATTTGGCTTTCTTGACCTTATTTAGGATGGATGTCATGTTTCAAGCTGCTTCAAACTATTGTTTGACATAGTAATGTGACCAGATGTTTGTCTTGGGCTCGAGCTCATTGGAAAATCCCTCAAGATGTTATGCTTCATTAAATGCACCATGTAGAGGGTCAACTAGTTCTCGCCAAAAAAACAAATTCAAAGAGAAGGAAGAAACAAATTGGAGAATTCTGAGGTGAGCAGTGCGTGCCTTGTGTGTGTTGAACAACATGTCAGGGCTGAAATGAAGTATGTAAACCATGCACCTTTCAAAAGGCTTCTGTCACCTGAATCAAAATTAATACAGATCATGGATTGAAGCAAAACATTAATATGGATCATCCTCATAATACCCATCATACTCTTCTGGTTCATCATCATCATTCTCATCATCCCAAGACATAGAGTCATCCGATTCACTTTGATCCTCATCTGAAGAAGCCACTAGATCAAACATCCCACCATTACAGTCAACTCTCTCTAATGGCATACAGTTTGGCGGGCAGTTTTCTTATGCATTTAGAGGAATATGCCTTTACAAATCTTGTTTTGGCTGGCAAATCTCATTTTGGCGGGAAAAAACTCCGTAAAAACCTATGCATTTAGAGGGATTATGCCCATAAAAGGTATGCCTTTATGGAGAGTTGACTGTACCAACATGATCCTTTGCATCAGCATCAAAAACTTTCCCACAAAAATACATTTCAATACCATGTTCTTGACACACGGTCTGTAAAGATTTAAAGTCAGTTTGAGAAAGAAAAGTTTGTTGATAACCTGGTAATTCAAACTTTTTCATTTTAGGCCAAAGTTGATCTTTGATTAGATCTTCAAAATATTGACGACTGTGAAACGGATCACCTATTGAAATCCATTTAAGGCTTTTTGAGTGTTGAAAGGATCTTGCGAATTGAATGGGTAACACCACAAAAAATATAATGTTTTCCGGGCAGAAAACGCAAATAGTGATCTACAGAAATATTGAGCGGTCAGGAGGAGGGCAAAAAATCCCGAAAAAATGGCTGTTGTTCCTGGTGTTTAGACAAACTTAACTAAGTCCCATCGTGCCGGGGTTTATACATAGCAAGCGATGACCGAGGCACGAGGGACTTACTCCCTACCCCAGACTTCTCGCGTGGCAGGTTGAGAGTTTTAGTAGGGGAAAACTGGGATGTCTTTTTACCCCAGCTTCCCTCAATCTTCTGTTTAGAAAAAAGTGGAGATTATGAAGCGCCTGCTTCTTCCACATCTTTCTCTCTATTCACATTTTTGCTCTTGTTTTTTGTTCTTTTTTTTTCTCAACACTGAAAACAACGTGATCCAGAAATCTGGAGGAGAGACTGCGGCTTGATTCCAAACTTAACTAAGTCCCATCGTGCCGGGGTTTATACATAGCAAGCGATGACCGAGGCACGAGGGACTTACTCCCTACCCCAGACTTCTCGCGTGGCAGGTTGAGAGTTTTAGTAGGGGAAAACTGGGATGTCTTTTTACCCCAGCTTCCCTCAATCTTCTGTTTAGAAAAAAGTGGAGATTATGAAGCGCCTGCTTCTTCCACATCTTTCTCTCTATTCACATTTTTGCTCTTGTTTTTTGTTCTTTTTTTTTCTCAACACTGAAAACAACGTGATCCAGAAATCTGGAAATTGAACTTGCTGCGAGGTGTTACATAAGACATATACATCTCAGATTTCGATTTGACACAGTGTAAGAAGTTGGAAACTGGAACGATCGAGTTCCATTGAGATTTGAAACGGTGAAATGACTGAAGGAATGGGAGAGAAAGGGTGAAATGAAACGTACCAAAGAGCAACGTCTCTAGAACATTGTTGGTTGGGAATGCGATCAAATTCATTGAAAAATACAATCCCAAATGACCGATTCGATTCAAAAACGCTCGAAAGGATTGCCTCCCCTGCCACATAGGCTCGAAGATACCTGCACGAACCTCAGATTGGTCGGACTGGATGCTAAAAAGTTTATTCAAGCCATGTTGACATCCACAGACCCAACTGTGGCAAGACGACGTGCATCTTGGGGAACAGAAAACGGCTGGGTTTCTACAAAGGAGGTCTTGGAAGGGTTTAAGACTTTGGTATGTAAAGATCGGCTGAGTGGCCTGGATAGATGGTCTGATTTCATCTTACAACAGGTGAGCAGCTTCATTACTTTTTGAAGCCTATGGATACTGACAATCTCTTTTCACAATGTCAAGGCAAAGGAGATCGTTATCAGAGAGAACCTGCCGAGTGGAGATCCACCACATGGAATGTTTCACAACTCAAAGAATATTACACATGATTTCTTTTCAAAAGAAGAAGAGCAACGGCGTGATACCTTAGTGGAATCAAATATGCCTTTTTTGCATTCACTCGTATCGGCCAAACTGGAACACGCTAGAGATATCCGACAAAAGGAAAGGGCAAAGAGAAAAGCAATGAAGGAGAATTTAGATGACCATGACGATGACTTCCCTCTTGAAGAACCTGAAGCAAACACTTTTAGCCAAGTCGAGGACACCAAGGGTGTCAAGTTCTTTGAGTCTACAACAATCATGGGACAGTCAAATCAGCAATTGGAAGCACATCGCATGAAGAAGGTATGTACTAACAGCATGTTTTTGTAGTTATACTTACTCTATTGATTGATAATTTCTTGTCTTTTTAAAAATATGTCTAGCTTCCCGTAATGCTCTGTTCAATGCTTGCTTTTGCCTGCAATCGCCGACATTGTGGCTTACAGCTTCAAAATTCGATGACTTTTCTTGCGTGTGGAGTCACACATAAGGTCAATGACTACCTTCATTTTCTTGGCATAACTTCATCTAGAAAGACAGCTTTAGAAGCTATGGATACACTGAAGAAGGCCACGGAGAAAAAGATTAGAGACATTGGTTGTAAGTCTTACAAGATTCGACCATTTTGGTGTGTTGACAACATTGATATTGAAGCAAGAGTACATGAAAAAAGTGTAGATGTTCATTCAAGAATGTTTCATGGAACTTGGGGATATTTACACGAGATACCTGAACATTTAACAGAGGGATTAATGGCAGAAGAACTTGATTTGAACATATTTGTGGACGCAATGGAACGTAGTAAGAAGGAAGACATTGAAGTGCATTCTATGATACCTACCAAACAAGAAGAAAGTCATTTTGAGCTGGTGAGGAAAGCACAGATTTCAACAGCTTTCA